CTCTCTCTCTCTCTCTCTCTCTCTCTCTCTCTCTCTCTCTCTCTCTCTCTCTCTCTGTCTCTCTCTCTCTCTCTTTAAAAAGAAAGAATTAAAAAAAAAAGAAACTTAGTACTCAATGCAACAGTGTTGGGAGGTGGGGTCTAATAGCTCCACCCTCGTGAACTGACTGATGTCATTATCACGGGAGTGGGTTAATTATCACAAGAGTAGGCTTGTTCTAAAAGTGACCTTGGTGCCTTCTTGCTTGTGTACCTTCCTGTTCCCTTCTGTCTTCCACCATGGGATGATGCAGTGTGAAAGCCCTCACCATAGGCTGGTAATTTCTTAGCCTATAGAATAGTGAGGAATAAAGTTATTTTCTTTATAAACTACCTAGTTTCCAGTATTCTGTTATAGCAACACAAAAGTGAATTTTGTGGCTTCCTAGGATCTCAGTCCTAGCTCAAGCCCTCAGCATGGTGTCTAGATTCACTGTACTAGGCCTCTATGAGTCAGCCTTCTCTCAGGAATTCCATCCTCCATACTGCTATCCAGGGGGTCAATTTATAAAGCAACTCAGACATGGCACCTCATTGCTGACTGAGCAATAGAGCCCAAACTCCTTTATGCATGACACCCAGCAACCTCCCCACATGTATCTTCTACCTCTCCCTGCCTGAAGTTCTAGACCCCATCAAGACACATCTCTTGTCTTTCTGGTTCCTAAACTAGACATTGTGTCCCCTTCCTGTTGCCTTCTGCAGGTCTTCCCACCCATCTCTACCTCTTCCCTCCCAGGGTCAGATGCCTATCAAAAAGTTCCTGTGACCCCAGTGGGTTTCTCATTGATTTTTATTGCCTGCTCAGGTGTTGACTCTTTAATGAATGTGAGCTCCTTGAGGGCAGAGTTTTCTACATCCTTGAATCACCTGCCCCCGAAGAGCCCTTGGCCTGTCCTAGAACAAAGCACCTACAGGGTAAGAATCAAGCTTGGGAATTTGCATGGTGGCATCTCTAACCTTCCAAGGGCAAATGTCAGAAACCATCACCACCCAAACGCTGCCTGGTTCCTCATCCCAGGGGCTTCTGTCTGTCATTAAAAATATCTCCAGACTCTAAAACAGGGCATGAGGGATGGGAGGACCCACATTGCCTTCTCAAATTTGGACCTGATTCTCCTTCTCAGTCTCCAAATACAAAAGTTCCTGAGTCTCTGACAGACCCAACCAGGATACCAGCTCTCTATTCCAGAGCCTGGAGTCACCTAAAGTCCCCCATTCACATCTGCACACACACACACACACAC